CCCCAAAACCCCAAAACCCCAAAACCCCAAAACCCCAAAACCCCAAAACCCCGGTAGGGCAAATTTAAATTTAATTTGAAAATTTATCGAGACAAATTAAACATATTAGAATTAGAATGTAATTATTACTTATTTGTTGGAGTAAGATTCTTGAAAATTATAAGTATTTTTATATTCATTCTTATCACCAGTTTAATTATCATGGGCCAATTTCACTGGCATCTTCGTACTCGCTTTCATTATCCCCATACACTCCTGGGGTATCTTGAAAAGCATTAGTTTATCTTCTATGATGTCCTCCCTTTATATTATGTATTTGCTGGTGATTATTATCTTAGTAAGGATTGCTCCTTGATGAGTTTAGATTAATATCTCTGTTTACTCTTTCAGCATTACCCCAGTTAGTTTTATTTTTCGTTCGTATATTGGAGGCTTTAGTTTACTTTTTATCATGAATTTTTGATTCTAAACTCACATCTGAACTATAAAACTGTATATTTTTTGAGTCAGGAATCTTGTTGTAAAGGGATAGCATAGAGTCTGCATTATTGTTCATTTCTTGCAACTTATAGTATTCTTAGTTTACTTAATGGTTGATGGATTCTCTGGGATTCCTAGCTATTTCTGACCTTTCAGATACGATCTCAAAAGCTCCTTTACTCTAAATATTGCTTCTGGCTGGTTGATTACTTTTTTAATGATTTTCTTTCATATACCTTGGTTTACCTATTTCAACTGGTTATACGTCTTCACTTCCTAGCGTTGGAGGTTAAATAGTTGTTTTAGGAGAAAATGTAACTTAGCCGAATTGAGCAGTTTAGAATTTAGTACTGTCTTGTTGCTTGAACTTAGCCTGTCTTGATTTGTCCTTTTTACCAGCATAAGTTTTTACAAGTTTCGGATCTTTTTCAATCTCATTAATTTCATCTGATTCGTAAGATTCTATTCTTGAAATTGGATTTTTAGCTTCTTTTAAAGCTGCATCTGTATAGTCATAAAATCCTTGCCTTGAATTATTTTTACTATTGAAATTATTCATAACTCCATTGAGTTTGGCAGGTTGTATGTCATCAAAATCTATTGAATACTTATCATGCTTTGATCCGAGGTATCTTGACAGAACTGATTTAGATTTTTTTTCTTTCCTTTCTTCTTGATGATTGCCCTCTTCTAAAGATTTTTATTCAGTCATTCCTGCTAAACTGCTCTTAACAAGTTAATTTCTTTTATTTGCTTGATAAAGAGGATTATCTTGAACAAGTGAATCAATTTGCTAATTCATACCTGCAACTAATTATACACTTTACCTATTTGATGTATTTCTATTTTTATTATAAGGTAAAGCTTTATCTTTAGAGTATGGAGATGCACTCATTACATGATCATTTTAATCCTTATTTGACATACTGGTGTTCATGCTATTCTTATAAGGCTTTCTCATCTTGTGCTATTTTTTATTATTTTGATTTATGATTACACTTTCTTGAGTATTATTATCTATAATTGACTATTTCTACATGGTCGCTGTAGGCTTTTACACCTCTGCAGCTTACTTCCTTCCTCTTGAACTCGAAGTTAAAATATCTTTCTATGATTCCCTAACTGTTTATTAATCACCTGCTCCATCCTAATCATAAGGCTCATCCTCAGTAAACTAATTCATCTTATCTCTTACCCTCTGCTTTATCAATTTCAGAGTTTAGCCATTTACGAATTGCGAGAACGGATTTAATTTCTTTTAGTGAAAGAGAGTCACAAAATAATTGCAAAACCTTCTCATTTTACTCTCTCTATGGAACAATGAATCTTCAAGTATTCTACCCTTTGAGGAGTCAAAATTTTTGCGCGAATCCTAAGTTTTCCTTAGTCTCTGCTTCTAAGTCGTTGTTTTAGCATAAGTTCTCTTTCTTACACTTTTCTCAAAAAACATAACCACAAATGTTCCTATTTGGTCGTTATTTGTTTATTCTTCAGAACTTTAAGTGAATAGTACTGGCACTTAGTAGCATTTCATCATGACATTAGAAAAGAAGAATTCAAGACCATTTTACAACTCTTCTCTTGACTAAGAATTATTTTATTGGTGAGGTTTTTTCTTGTAAGGCTACTCGTAAATACCCATATCAGATTTCTTCACCATTTTTGTTGCTTTCCTTATAAAAAATTAAACCTCCTTGCTATAATGATAGTATAATTCTCTTGAAGTATCCTAATTTAACATAAAAGATGAATTTAATGTTACATGGGCAAAATTAAAAGAGTATATTAGTTTGGGATCATGTGAATAAGCAACAGTCTCTACAATGGCTACTTCACATAGGAAATATTTTTAGATTGTCAGAGGTTTTTCTTTGAAGAATACATCTGTATATACTTATAGGAAATTTTTGAGAGTCTCATCAAAAGGAAGTTCGCAATAAGTTCGAAAGAGTTACAGATAAAAATTTCTTTTATTCATCTCTCCACTTGGGAGAATAGAACTCTCATTGACATTTTTGACACTAAAACTTGTAAGCTCCTATCTTTATATATTATTTACGCCAATTAATTTACTATTTGTAAGCAAGATCTTCTTCAAGAAATTCAGTGAGCACCTCTTTAGTAAATTCACACCAAAACTATGCAAAGATGTATCTAGTTGTAAGGTTCTAAACTGTATACTCTTATCGTTTTTATCCTAATGTTGCTACTGCGAATACTTCATTGTAAACAATATGAATCTAAAATAAGCTTGGATGAAATAATGTAAGTTTATTAATTAAATTAACTATAAGTGAATTCACCTAGGAAACTTACATTTTAATTGAATAACTCTAGTTGAATTGACTTTTGAAATTCATCTCGAGGCATGAATCCATCAACTGGCTTGCATTCTTACATTTTTATCACGTTTGTTAAGAAATTCGATAAAAAATCTGGCTATAACTTTGAACTCACTCTTCCGATATTAGAACTCTAATCCTTTAAATCAACTATGTAAGTTCCGGACAAAGCGAAGACAAGTGCTCTTTAGATGTAAGCATTTTTCAATTGATCTCTGATATTTTAAACTGCGATTGGCTCGATATCTCTGAAATATAAGTAGCATAATTTTACTTTTTATAAGAAACTAAACAGCGATGAGTTTTATTCATTTTCTTCGATTATAATAAAGAACTATATCTATGAATTTATCAAAATTTCTCTATAAAAATTCGAGCATTATCACACTTTCGGGGTTTTGGGGTTTTGGGGTTTTGGGG